TCAGAACTTTATATTGACATAATTAAATAGGTTAAATAGAGCCTCCATTTTAATTCAGACTTTAAATTAGTCTCTTAATTTATGGGATAATTCGAAGTGGCTCTCGCTTAAAAGTTCAAGGGACCATTTTGGTTATTCTATTTAATAATTAATTAAAATCAAATATGATTAATATTAGAGCCTACGTTCTTAGGCTCGAGCCCCTAGGTTCTTTAATTTTCATAATTTGACATCGTAGGTTAGAAAAAGCCTTAACGTTTTTAGTATAATTAGGATTAAATAAAATTTTGGCTTGATTCCATTGTTTTTAAAACTTAAGACATTGTTAACTTATTAAGGAGTTAATAGTATATCATCCGCAATCGTGCTCAGGAGGTGACTACTGGTAATTCCTTAAATAAGTCGACATCCTTTTCAAAACCACATCATGTTTTCTAAAAACGAGGCAATGTTCGGTTATTAGACACAATAGTTGATCTCCCGCATTTACGCTCGGGGGCGAATGCTATCGATCTCGATAAACGAATATCCTTTTCAAACTCTGCATCCTTAATGATTTCTAAATTAAATAAAGATCGAACTAAAATTTTCCAATTTTAAATATAAGGTAATCAACTAGGTACCAATTTTTGGGCACTTGTGGGGTGCTAATCCTTCCCCACGCGTAACTGACTCCCGAACCTGATTTCTAGATTTTCGCAGACCCCAAAACTCAATATTTTGATAAAAACAAAATGTTTTATTAAAATCACTTAGATTTTATGGTGTTCCAATCGCACCTTAACTGATTGGTGGCGACTTCTCACATTTCAATAAATTTTTTCAAAAAGAAAACCCCTAATTCAGTATCGACTTTTCCCCGCCCGAGTGAAAAACGGCAATATACAATTTGATTTTTCCAAAAACGAGTAGTTAAAATTATCTTGAAAACTTGTATAATATGAAAACAACTATATTTAAAATAATGAATTCACATAATAGTTAATTTTATTTGAAAAAATAAAATAAAAATATCTAAAATAAAATTATAAATTTAATTTTTAAAATGATAAAATATTTTATAAAAATATTCATATATTTATTTATTTATATTTTATTCTTAAATAAAATAAAAAAAATTCTAATTTACTATTCAGTATTAATAACATTTCAAGTTAAATATTAATTTGATTAGAAATATAATAATTACATAACTTGATTTAATAATTAAACAATTGATCCATTCTATAATGGTTTTGTGGCTGGACGATGGAACTCTTTGTATACAGTGATAAATTGAGAGGGAGGTAGTCGGGTTATCATCCCTTTAAAAAATTTATTTTCCCCCATATAATTTAGATTATTTTTTATTTTTTTATTAAATATATATATTTACCTTCTAAATTTTTATAAATTTATTCATCTAAAATTTTATAACGTCATTTCTCTGACATAAAAGTACGTATCTATTCATACTTATATAGGAAGGTAAATCATGTATAAATTAACACTGGTTACGAAGAAATGAACTTTTATAATATTTTTATCAAAAACATAATTTGATGATCAAAATAGCAAAAAGATAATAAGTCGACTACTGATGTAATTTATCTTTAAAAAATTTTGATAAAAATTACTAATGTTATTCAAAATAGAAAAATCTTAAATTACAATAAATATTTACATAATTAAAACAACTTTCTATAATCATTTAAAAAAAGTAACAATTTCATATCGCATAAAAATCATATAAGAAAATATTAATACATAACCAACAAACTCAAAGAAAAATAGATACAAACAGATATGATTACATTGATAAACGAACAAAAAAAGAGTATCAAACTACTAAAGACTATTGACAAACGACACATCAGAATCGAATGACATGAAAAGCTATCTATGAACGCATAACGGGTATCAAAATCTAATTTGATGGTTAATCAACAATATAACAAACAAACATTATATTTATCAGTCTTGGTGATATTAAATTAACCATTAGAAAAATATAAGTGAAAACAATGACTAAAGGACCGAAAAACGTGCCAAACGATAAAAAAAAATGTGTCATAAAATCATATAAAAACGTATCATTCAAGCAAATTTATTAAAAAATATGATATAAGAAAATAAAAGAAGAATAAAAAATATCGACGATTGATAATAAATATTAAAATTAACACCGCCGTCGATCAATAAAGACCAAAAGAGAAAAAGACTGTTTACTAATGAGAGAAGATTAAGATAGAAAAAGAATATTATCTTCAAAATTATTTTGATTCACATCAAAATGTTGTATATGTATAAAATATGATTATAAATACATAAATGAGTATATAATATTTTTCTATATGTTTAAAAGAAAACAAACAAATAAACAGTCCATGTTGGGTTGGCCATTCCACAATCATTCGTGCAAATCAAATTAAAAACGAAATAGACGTATGCTTTTAATGGGATTCAAAGCGCTTTTTCATATAAAAACAAAATTAGTTTTATTACTTTGGAGGATAGAACAAAAGGCATTGACTTGGGCTCTCGTTTGATTGGGACTGAGTTCGTTGATTTTTATTAGAGAAAATAACTTCAGTGACCAAAAATGTCTTATAATATACGATTTTAATCAATTTTTTTTGGATTTGCCAAAATGACCAACTAAATCGCAATGCGATCGATAATTCGCAACGCGATCTCCGGTATCGCAAATCAGTTTCCAGATTCGCAACGCGATTCTGACTATCGCATTGCGATTTTCCAAATTCGCGTTGCGATTTTCCGAAATCGCAATGCGAATATGTAAATCGCAATGCGATTATGACTATCGCAATGCGATTCTGACTATCCCAACACGATTCTGATTATCGCAACGAGATTCTGACTATCACAACGCGATTCTGACTGTCACAACACTGAATTTCAAATTCGCAACAGGTTTTAGTTTCGCAACACAAATTGTTTGGGTATATAACTACGCAGCAGAAGCAACTCATAACCTAAATCCCTAAATCGCAACTAATTCTATCTCCATCTATCACTCTCTCCGGCGATATCCGTTCCTATATCCAACGACATCCTTCCCCATCCGGCAATAGGTTTTAGTTTTGCAGCTCGTTTGTTTAGTAAATTAATTTACAATAATGAAATCATCTAATGTTGATCATGTTTGGATAGATTTGTGTTTTGGAGGGTCATGGGAGAATGTTCATGGTGTTTTACAATATATGCCTTTACCCATGAATATTCAACTAAAACTATCATTAAAAAAGTTAACTTATGAAACTATAATGTTACGTGTTGCAAATAAATTGAATTTAGAGCCCTTAAGTGGATTTAGGCTATCTTATTAGAGAAAAGGTAAAATTTATTTGTTAACCGACAATGAAGATGTTGAACGATTCATTGCTTACATTAGTGTTTCGCAAGATGATGTTACATTGTATGTTGTTGAACCTAGAAGTAGTGAAGTTGGGTCAGTAGCGGGTAGTAATCAACTAAGTTTTTCAACCCCAGTTTATGGTGCTCAAAATTTAATGGTTCCACCACAATTTCATCACCAAGCAAATTTTGTTTCACCACATTTCCAATACCAAACACAATCTCAAAACCCACAACCTTTCCCTAATCCAAATCTCAATCAACTTTCAGCACCAAATTCCAGTTTTCGTATTGACCAGTTAGATGATGATGAGCCAACAGAAAAAATTGTGAGTACTAGTCAGTATTCGAAATTTGATCTTGGTCAATACTCAGACTTTGATCTTCGTCAATATTTTGATGATGTTTCAGAAGAACAAACAGACCCTGCGTGTAATGATTTTGATATTGGTCAATACCCGAATTTTGATGATGAAACAGCCGCTGCCGAGGAAGATGTTGTTGATGATAATGAGGAGAAAGTTACGACTGTGAATGAACATGTTGAACATCCATTCTGTAGTTCATATAACCCTGAAGAAAAAAAAGAAAAAGAAGAAATCCCCAAAGAAAAGTCCCCGAAGAAAATGCCACGGGAGTATAACTGGAATATGCCAGAATTACTTCAGATACCGGAAGAAGAGTTGGTAAAGATAGTAGTTGATTGTTACAAAAAAATTATTCGTATCAAGAAAGATGATTGTTTTGATACAAAGGAAGACTTGAAGATAGCTTTGTATACGAAATGTGTGGAAGATGGCTATCAACTAAAAGTTAACAAATCAAGCAAAGATCGTTTCGAAACAAGGTGTATGATTGACAAAAACTGTACGTGGCGTATGATTGCAAAGAGGATAAAAGATTGCAAAATGTTTCAAGTTAGGACTTTTATTGATAAACATACATGTTCAAGAACCCAAGTTTTTCCTCACCATAGACAGGCAAACAAAAATGTGTTGGGTGGTTTTCTGGCTGAGTTAATGTTTTTGAATGGTTGGGTATATCGGAGACATGAAATTATGACTGACATGAATGCTCGGTTCAAGATTAGTATCTCATATTCTCAAGCTTGGAGAGCCAAATGTTATGCCGTGGAATTGTTGAGGGGGTCTCCAGAAGCATCGTTTGCCCAACTGCCGGCTTATTGTCATAATTTAAAGCTGAAAAATCCTGGGTCGGTAACTCATATCAAAACAGATAGAGATGGATGCTTTGCATTGTTGTTTATCGTCATTGGTGTTGCGGTTAGTAAATCAATATAATTTTGTTGACTCATTTTTGTTAGTTACATGCATTTCACATTTAAATGATTATATTTCTTGTGTATATGATTTTGTAGATTCGTTCGTTTATTACTTGCATGCGCCCAATTTTTATAGTTACTGCACTGGTATTATCACACCGTACCTTAGGCTCTCCAGGAAGTGCAATTTTCATTTCATGCAGCACAACCCTTATCCATACAACTTTAGAAGTAGCATCTGCAAGAATTTTGTACTCAGCTTCTGCAGTGGATATGGATACTGCACATTATTTTTTTGAGCTCCATGCCAGTAGATGGTTTCCATTGTAAACACAATACCCAGAAATTGATATTATGTCATCAGCATCTCCACCCTAATTAGAGTCTAAGAAAGCATTAAGCACCATGAATTTTGTTGCTTTAGCTGAAAACCAAAGTCCAGTTTCTAGTGTTCCTCGTAAGTACCTCAGAATACGCTTGACAGCACGCCAGTGTACCTCAGTGGGCTCTTGCAAGAACTATGCAGCTTTGTTAACTGCAAATGAAATGTCTGGCCTCGTATGAAAAATATATTGCAGTGCCCCAACTAGACTTCTATACTGTTGTGGCTTGCTTAACACTTCCCCATCATTCTTACTAAGCTTGGTTGTTGTTGCCATGGGAGAGGACACTGAATTTACATTCAGCATTTGATTCTTTTACAGCAACTCAGTGAGAAACTTCTTTTCATTGAGAAACAAGCCACTATCTGATCTATGCACCTCTATACCAAGAAAGTACTTAAGCTGCCCAAGGTATTTTAAAGAAAAGTTCTCATGCAATGCATGAATTATTTGATCAATCTCCAGCTGGGAACTCCCTGTGATGAGAATGTCATCCACATACACAACCATGTATACCACTTCATGGTCCCCTTGGCGAAAAAACAATGAAGAATTTGCCATTGAAGACTTGAACCCCAAGCTAAGCAAGAATTCTCTTAACTTAAGAAACCAATTCCTTGGAGCTTGCCTTAACCCATACAATGCCTTTTTTAACTTGCACACCAAGACATCTTCATTAGTGGATTGTTCTTCAAAGCCAGGAATCTGTTACATGTAGACATCCTCACTTAAGTCACCTTTTTGAAAGGCATTATTCACATCCACATTCCTTATTTGACAGTGACTTGAAACAACCAATGAGATCAATATGTTTACTGTGTAAAATCATAGCCTGGTATCTGAGAATACCCCTTGGCAACTAGTCTAGCTTTCAACCTTTCTACTGAACCATCAACATTCTTTTTCACCTTGAAGAGCCATTTGCAGCCAATGGCTTTTCTACCAGCTAGCGATTCCATAATATCCCATGTGTTATAATTGATAAGTGCATTGAATGCAGCCATAACAACCATCCTCCAATCATCATCTTTTAGTGTAGCTTGAATATCACTAGGCACTTCTTTGCATTGAATGGAGAAGATTTTTGGCTTAAAAATCCCATGCTTGCTTTGAGTTATCATAGTATGAGTGTTTCTCATTCTAGTATCTTGAGCATTTTCTTGATTTTAGATTTGCTCACTAGAGGCAGATTGTTCATGATCAGAAGAATCATTATCAGTAGATCCATGATCATGAGAAACATCATTAGCATCACCAGTAATTTCAAGATCAAGAGAACTGAGGGTATTACCAGGTACATTATTTATTGTTTTCTCTTCAGATGGCACATCCAGTTCATTGCATGTGGCTGTAGGTTGATCAGCACTACCTGTTCTACTCTTTGATCGGTATTGACATCAATGTTGACAATTGACCTTTGAACAGCCCTGGCATGCTCATGTTGACTGAAAACAACTGGTATAGCTCTTGATCGAACTACCTTATTAGCAACTATACTGTGGGATGTTGTTTTGTGAGCAAAATGAAAAACATTCTCATTGAATACCACACTTCTTGATATATAGATCCTGCCATTTTTATCCATGCACTGATAACCATGATGCATTGGAGAGTAGCCCAGGAAGACACATGCCTTGTATCGGAAATCCAACTTATGTGTATTGAACTCCCTGAGATTAGGAAAACACTGACATCCAAAGACTTGAAAAAATTGTAATCAGGAGGCTTACCATATAGCTTTTGATAAGGAGATATATTACCAAGAATCTTGTAGGGCATCCTATTGATGAGATACAATGCACTGAGAACTGCATGAGACTAGAATGCTAAAGGCATTGAAGCTTGTGCTAGTAAAGCTAAAGTAGTTTCTACTATATGTATGTGTTTCCTTTCCACTACCCCATTTTGTTGTGAGGTATTTGGACATGATTTCTTGAGCTTAACACCAAGTCGATGTGAGACCGTCTCTAGTAATCGAAACTCTAGCTCCTCTATTGTCTGTTTGTAATGCAAGGATAGTTGTTTTAAATTGATTCGAAACTAGAGCAGTAAACATTTCAAAAGAAACAATAACCTCACTTTTATTTCTTAACAAATAAACCCAATTGTTCCTTGAATACAAATCTACAAAACTCACAAAATATCTAAAACCACTAGAAACAATAGGAGCAAGACCCCATAAATCAACTTCTACTAACTCAAATAGTTGTTTGTACACGGTTTGTGACACAGAAAAAGGCTGAACTTTACTTTTTCCCATCTGACAAGTTGTACAAACTTCACTTCTATCTACATTTAGCCTTTTATTAAGAGTTGTCATCACCACCTCAGCTGCAGGATGACCTAACCTTTTGTGCCACAACCAGTACTCATTGGTATCTTTAACGATAGTGTTGTTAACTATTGTTGTTTCTTGCAGAGCTTGGCAGTCAAAGCTGTATAAACCTCCATCAAGCTTTCCTTCCACCAGCACGACTCTTGTGCTTTCATCCTTAACATAACAAACACTTTCATGAAACTCAAAATAAACTAAATTATCTTAAGTAAATTTTGAAACTGATAAGAGATTCTTATTAATTTTTGGAACATATAGCATCTGATCCCTAGAGCCAGTTTTTAAAATGTTTCTACCAATATGAGTAATTGGAATAGTAAAACCATCTCTTAGATGAACCTTACCACTGCCAGTGTAAGCTTGTCTTCTCGAGATAGTAGAGATGGTGCCATTCACATGATGCGTGGCTCCTGAATCAGGAAACCATTTTTCATAGGTCAAAGGATCATTAACCATTAATGCATTAACATGTACATTACCACTTGGCTCAATGGCAAATGAATTTTCATCTCATGCACTAACATTTACAAAAGGAATGTAATGACAGTCATATGCATGGGGAAAGCATGAACAAACATTTGTTTTCATTTCATTAGTCGAGGAACTTTGTTGAGCAGTTACACCTTTGAAGTTCTGATCAAACCTATGTCATCACCTGTCAACTAGATGACCTATCTTTCCACACAGTTGACACTGCTGCTTAGGCCTCCCCTTGTACTTGTTACTTGTAGTATTATTAGGTTTAGAAGCCCCACGATTATTGTAGTGTTGAGCATCTGAGACCTAATTGGTACTATAACGTGTGAAATTTACCCATATTGGAAACCTCAATGAGTCATCAAGGTGTGACTCAGCATCAATAAGAACCGATACCATATTATCGAGAGCAAATGTCTCTCTGCTCGCAATGATCGCATCAACAATTGGTTCATATTGAACTTGTAGACCATTAAGAATGGTGGCGATGTGATCAATATCTAAAATAGGGTTATCACACGTGGCTAAAAGATCACATATTTCTTTAATAGCCATGGTGTAGTTTCTCATAGAGTGAGATCCTTTCTTCATTGATCTAAGGTGACAATGCAAGGTCATAATTTTTGTAGTAGACATCTTGGAATATAACCTGGTGATAGCATTATAGACTGCAGCTATGGATTCAGCACCAACTAACTGAGGTAGAATGTTGGCGTTGATAGTAGAAAGAAGCCAAGAAGCCAAAGAGCTATCTTGCTTGACATAACGCAAATAGGCTGGATTAATGACCTGCTCACCAGCATCGTTAAGAACCAGCTTCACTGGAACCGCCATAGATTCATCAAGGAAACCTTCAAGTTCAAGCCCTCTCATCGTGAGAATCACTTGCTGCTTCCATATGAGATAGTTCGAATCAGTTAAGCACACGTTGATTCTTTTATTAGCAAAGGTATACAAGCTAGCTTCTGTCAACTGCTCATCCTCAGCTATTATCAACATGCCTTGAACCATGACCAATCTCGAAGAAACAAGAGAACTGAGATCCAGAAGACAAGAAGAATAAAGGAAGAGAAACGCACAGAGAAACCGTTTCAAGATCTAATGGAGAATGATACCATGTTAACTATGGAAGAATCTTAGAAATAACAACAAGAAAAATAGTAAGTAACTATGAATGTATTCAAGATCTTGATTACACAAGTTAAGTAGCTATTTAAAGTCTCCCATGAACTGCTGCATAGTTGGTTACAAACGACTACAACCAATTAACCTCTATACTTAACTACTTAACCAAATATGGTTTAACACAGGATTCCCATATTGGCATGCCAGATGCAAAAGTGAACAAACTTGTAAACAATTCTTCAGCTCATTTGAATCCTTGATTCTCGGACAGGTTGATGGATTTTCTTTCTTGCTATCAAGTGATGAGTCTTGTGCATCAACATGGTGATACAACTCAACAGTGAAAATATCATCAAAGGTGATATTTACGATATTGGTGTCTGACATTGCAATTAGACGATACACTTCTCGCAAATTATTAGTCTCAATTGTTTGCAAAAATGTTTGCAAAAATTATTAGGTGATATTTAAGATCTCCAGGTTGCATTGCATCTCTTACGATTAGCAATTTATCTACATACTGGTTAAAAGAAGGAATAATGTTAGACTTGTATTGAAAATCACAGTATTTCTTATCAGAGTGTGGGAGATGAAAGACTAATATGAGCAGCAACAATTCACATTTAACGAAAAAAAGGAATCATTTAACCAAAAATAGCAATTTATTAAGATTATATCAATTAAATCTATATAATATTAATTATACGTTGAAATTCAATTCTAAACATACTAATGAATAGTTTATTTATAACACAATCAACATAAATTATTAATATTATCTAAAAGTGTAAAACATTTAAATTCAAAGTTTTATAAAATATAAATATATAAAAATAAAATTTACTTAATAAAACACAAGGTAAAGAATAAAAAATAAAAAATATGTATGTTTGTTTATTAAAAATAGATTTTTAAAATTATTTTTAGAAAAATTAACTAAACATAGTAAAATATTTTAAAATATAACATTTAAACAATGACAGAAAGTAACCATCTTGTTACATTCTTCTCGAAGTGATTTATAATTACCCTATTTGTACCCTAACTATCACTTCCAAATTTGTACCCTAACTATCACTTCCAAGTTCCCAAATATAAATATCTGAAAGCCAAAATACACACACAAAGGTACAGAGGCTATTAAATGAGGATAGTAAAATTATATTCACTTTTTACTGAAAGGACAGCACCATTGATGTACGGGCTCCGGTATTATTACATTTATATGCATGAATTGATTATAATCGGTTCCATTATCACTACTGTTCACCAATCTCTCTTTTGGAGCCAACTGGCAAATTCGAAGAAGAAAAAGAAAACGAAGAAAAAAGATGATTGAGGAAAGGACAAAAATAGTCCGATTCATTTGGTCTTATCCCACCATACCCTCTTTCTATTCTGTTTATAAACATAACAGCTTTCAAGGGTTTTTGCATATATAAAGAGTATCTTTTATTTTCCATAGAAAAAAAAGCAGTGTTTTATAATGAATTTATCAGCTTCGCAATGTGGTAGTGGTTGTGAATCTGGTTGGACTTTCTACTTAGACCAATCCTCTTGTTCTCAAACTGGGAACTTCGGTGAGGATTATGGGGTGAAAGGAGCAAGATTCGTGGTTGAAGATGATGAAGAGGAGGGCTTATCCATGGTGTCTGATGCATCTTCTGGCCCAAGACAACATTGTTATTGCCAAGAAAATGGCTGCTTCTCTTCTCATCCTTCAACCACTCAAAAACCGGACAAGAAAAGCTGCAGAAACATTAACAATATCAAAGATGATTATAGTAATAATCAACAGCGTTTTTGTCTTGATGATACTGCCAGCTCCCCTGTAATAAGCTTTTCCGTGGCAAGTTTCACAATATCATACAGGCATACACACTAATACGCCTAGTCGGGGTTCATTTGTGACAAAATTAAGTAACAACGGGTGTTTTCCCCTCTCTTTTTGGTGTATTTACAGAAGAACTTCAAGGGAGAAGCATCAGCAGACTTGGACTTTTCACAGGGTTTTTCTGGTACACATTTTAAGGTACTAAATACCAACTATTACCTTCTTTTAAGCAATTTACCTTCCATGATATATGATACATAGTTTTCCGCAGGGTAAATCTGCATCCCAGAAAACACTTGGTTTCATGAAATATGGAAAAACAAGTTCAAAGCATGCAAGTTAGTCTTTTGCTTTCAACTTTGACATAGACATTGAGATTCTTCAGTGGCCTGAAAAAAGAGAAACTTGATGTTAGCCCTATCTTGATATAAATCTCTTGGAACAGGTGGTTTCCAGGAAAGAAGCAGGGGATGACAAAAAGGGTAAACTTCAACAGCTTTTGTCTCAGCTGTCCTGGAAAGAGAAATGGGAGGGATTGTTCTAAAAGAAAAACAAATAGACCTTAGATCTCAAAGGGGACTTTTTTTTAATGTTTTTATTTCTTTGATCATGTCAATGCAGCGGGAAACAACATGAGAACATTAAAAAGAATATCAATTTCTCTCTGTCAATAGGGTTTGTTTTCTCGAGTTTATTTTCTTGACACCACCATGAATGGACCATGTAATTGATGGTGGAATCAGTTGGATAGGGTTAGTACATTTGGTGACTTATGTTTATCCAGATCCGAAAAACAAACATTGTGGGTTAAAGGAAGCAATAGGCAAAGCTTCATTTTTCCAGCCAGAAAAAACACCACTCCATCATCAATATCTTATAGATACAAAACTTCGCTGTTAAAGAAAGATCGGGAACAATGATCGAGCCATCAATGATTCGTAACTTGTTTTTGGCCAATAAAACAAGCATCATCGATCTTTTCAAACTATGAAAATTGTCATTGGAAAGAAGTTGCGTGACAAGAACAGTTCCGGGATTATCCTACTGATGTAGATAGTACGGATTACCTATTATCAAAACGATCACTCAAAGAATCGGGCATGACGGAGTTGGAAGGGATGCTATTTTCTTCTGATACTATATAACAACAAGAATATCTTGCAAAGAACTTAAATAGAAGAGACGAGAATGAAGACTGTATGACTTTATTTCCTTGTACAGTGTAATACATTTGCATGGGTTATATATACAACTAAGCAACTTTGAACCAATTAGTTGTTAATCTAACTAGAAATTTGCTGCTATACTACCCTCAAAAATGTGATTCATAGGCAAACAGTGAGTGCAGTTATTGAGTTTTGTTTTGGCTGATCAGTTTCCCTTTCAAGATTATTAAGTGAAGGTGCTTTTGCCATGCCATTCTCAGAATTAGAACAAGGACTTGGATCACACGAAAAGGACAACCCTTCTGTCCTCTCAATCCTTTTTGTCCTCGTTAACATTAATAAAATAGTATTTTATTTGTATATATCCACTTCTAAAGTTAATGTGAATTGCAAACTACCGACTTGTATTCACTTCTAAAGTTAATGTGAATTGCAAACTACGGACGAGGATGGATATAGGGGTGTTGGGTTAAACTTGTACCTACAAATTTTAATTTTTTTATATTTTATTTATTTTTTATATTGTATATTAATTATCTAATTTCATACTCCCTAAATTTTTCATATATCTTTTAAATTCGTACTCTTAACATAAATTTTTTTGTCCGTCTCAGACTATCAACATAGCCAACAAGACTACAATCAAGACATCAATTAGTCATTAATGAATTGAATAGTATAATACTGTAAAAATAAAAATAATTGAGATTTTTTTTCCAAATTGAACGACTTTATTCTTAAGGATGGAAGACAGATACAATTTCGTGGATTTTGCACCGTACTCGCTCAAATTTGAGTGGAGATGGGTATATATTTAGTGGGTAGTGGGCGGGTGTGACTGTAAAAAATATACCCGTCGCATGCCTGTCCCACATCTTCCCGCCCACTAACTACTCACCGTATAAATTTTGGAACTTTATGAATTTAGGTCTTATTTCAGAGAAATTCTATAAATTTTAAGATTCCATAGGACATGACTTGTAATTTAACTAAATATTAGGGTATAAACATTTTTAGAATTGAAGACACATTTCCCCATCTTAAATAAACGAGTACGAATGAGTAGTGGATAACCAGTTGGATAGTGGGTGTAGGAGTATATTTGAGAATGTACTCACGTGGGAGGATGTATATTTAAATTTTTTACCAATCGTAGGTGGTAGATAGGAAAATATTGAGTATGGAGATGGATGAAAGCGTATACGCACCTATCCCACTTGTTTGCCATCCCTAATTTATTCTTAATATATGTTTCAAATTTTTAATAATTTTAGTACGAGTTAACATTAAATTTTCATAATCAATACAAAATTTGAGTTGAAACTTCAGTAGTAGCTTATTAATCGGTATAAGTATATACATCTCTCAATATCTTAGTACTTAATATTAAACACATAATTATATTAGTGTAAGTATGATTATGTATTTTCAAAGAAATAAAAAATTAAACACAATAAAAATATATATATTATGTTATTTGTGTATAAATTTTATTAAATATATATATAAATTAGAAAAATAGAAAACTATATTAAGTTTTTTGTGTAAAATATAATAAATTATAAATATAATTATAAATTTAATTTATTAACGGTTAACAGTTGCTTAACAGTTTATCAAAATTTGAAACCGTAATCTTAACCGTTAATCATAATTTTTAGCGACTCGGTTAATCGATACTGTTTAGTATTAACAATTCAATTAGTTAACTCATTAAATGCAACGGTTATACCGATTAATGATTACGATTAATAGTTATGAATTTTTTTAACTCCCCTACCTCCCTTCCTCATTTTCCATATTTAATATCTAATACAATAACAAAATTTAACTATTATAAACTAGGTGAAATGTAAGATCCAATTCATAAATCTGGGAAAATATTTAAAAAATATGAAATGATGTAAATACACTTTAAGTGGAGGTGTCAAGCCCCCAAAGGGAGTAAAATCCCTTTAATTGTTTCAAAAATTAGATAAAACTAGAATTTCTTGAGTGAATCCATGCTAAAAAGAAATATTTTTTTTATGATTTAAATTTGAACAGTTGTGTTTGCAGGATACATGTACATTATCAATAGGTTCAATTTTTTTTGAATAAATACTACCTTATAAATTTCCCTACTATTCAAACAACAAGTAATAAAAATGATAATTTTTTACTCCAACCCATAAATAAATTTATAATACGTCTAAATATAATTTTTGCCTTCTCACCAACACTTTGATACATGAACCTGGCTACATCTAATAAACTATGTTAAACAATATTTTTTGGATAAAAAGTGCATTTAAAGATCATTTCTCTGTTTAAACACAAAAGTTAAAGTTTTTTGTTCGTAAAGTTCTTTTAGAGCCAAAAGTATAGTTTAACGGTGGTACATATTTTAAAGATTCTCAATCATTTGACAATAAACGTTCAAATACCTTGTAGTCATTGATGCTAGATGTAACACCTCGAATATTCAGCTAGTAGTTTCGAATGATCCGAATGGGTCTTGGGTGACCTTATTAGGATGCTATGAAGAGTTGGGTTGAGTGTGGTATGGATTGGGCTTGGGTTGAGCCCAAATGTTATTAAAAATGATATTTTTGATTTACGATCAAAGGATGAGGGACTAAGAAAGTGATTTACCCCTGAATTTTTCTTTAGGTTGATTCCCATTTTTATTAGCTTATGTCATCGTGGAGGAAAATCAAGTTTCCTTTATCTTCTTCTCATTTCAAACTCGGTCTGCTTCTCTCTTGTGTCTTGAGAAAAGGAAGCTCCTTTATTGTTCTTTATTCATAGGGCAATTTCAAGAAGGTAAGAATCCTCACTCCTTGAGCTTCCGTTTAAGTTCTTAATCTCAAGGTTTAGCCATGATGGACGTTGGGGAATGTCAGAGGGGTTTTGGGTTTTAAGGTTCTAGAACAATCTCAATCCATTTCTAGAAGGCAAGAATCATGTTTTTACTCATTTTAAGTCTTTAGGTAAGTTAGTAACTTATGCCCTTGCTTTTGGTTAGTGAATGAAGTTAGAGATAGCTCCAAAAGCAAGAACAAGGAGAAGCTTGTGCTTGGGTGAACGTGAAGTGTTCTCCAGTAACTAGGTTTAAGGTAAGACACTCATAACTCGTCTATAATTCTTGTAGATCACAATGCGTAGTTTGCTTGCTTGTATGAGTGTATGAGTGCATAATGGGTATCTTCGTGTTCATGAGGGAAATGGGGTGTTTTGATGTTTCTTATGCATGAAAATGACATATTATGATACCTTTAAACTCTAATAAGATTTAAATAACATTTGAGGGCCTTATGAGGGCTTTAGGTAGGAGTGAAGTAACTCACTCATAAGAAAACATAGTTTTCTATGCTTGGCGTATTGGTACTAGATGAACAATACTGGTACTATTCATCCGAGAGGACAAAATCAAAGGGATTGGTCATGTAGTATCGATACTCTGTTCATAGAGTACCTATACTATTATTTAGGTATCGATACTGAGGCATAGTATTAATACCATCTTTAAGTTTGGATTACTAATACAATTGCATTTATGCTTCTACTACTCATCTTCTTCACTACAACTTACTTTCGGATAAAGGACAAGGGAGTTTTCTCATTCTTTATAATCTTTTTCTTCTTACTTTGCAAACATAGCATTATTTTAATAATGTATGCAATTATACATCATGATGTATCCTATTATAATGTGTGGATGTCATATGACCTGCATTTTATACTTAGGTTGTTAATAATGTATGCATACCTTCATAATTTATAATTTCATTAAGTATGTTTGCATAATAGTACCTCACATCCTTATTCTTAGGCTATGTTATATGTTAGTTATGATTTACTTTCATTCCTAGCTTAAACATAATTATATTTAAAGTTTATATCATTTCTAATCTTATGCATGCTCACACTTAGTTTATCCTAGCTAAATTCCATTATTTATATAGGTTGCAATATACATTTGCATTGTTCCTAGCTCACACACTACTTATGTTATTGTTTTCTATTCATTCATAGGTGAAACATCAAGGGAACATCACTTGGCAGCTTGGCATAGCTCAAAGGAAAGCATGACAGCTCATGGATAGCTCACAATGGTCACAAGCAACTGAATTTAGTTCAAGCACAACAAGGCTAGCTCATGGTTAGCTAAGGAAGTTGTTTAGTAGCTGACATGTAGCTGAGTAGCTGGGAGTGTCACTAGCTAGCTAGCTTGAGCTATCTTAGCTCATGCTCACCTAGCTACCTATGTTGACACCTTGGGCATCAAGCAAGAACCATGAGCAAGCCAAACACAACCTAAAGGGAGAGGTTGTATCCTAATTTGGCATGGGAGAGCACACGCAATGAGCAGCCATGTGCATTCATTAAAATGCCATGTGACTTGCTTCAAATTCAAATTAAAGGAGCCAAAACCAAAGGACTTGTAACCATTCGGCCAAATCATCTCATCCACTCATTTTGGGCGCCAAGTATGAAAGGATTCAAGCCTTTTCAACCAAGCAATTCAAGTCATTCAACAAAGCATACAAAAGGCCGAACTATTGCATCTATTCAGCCAAACAACATCTCCAAAGGCTTTTGAAGAGACTAGCCGAACCAACACCATTATTCAAGCACGAAGGGTTGTATTCTATCAAACAAACACTATGTCCTTTCATTGTAACATCCCTTGGCTGAACCTACTTGTCTATTCGGCCATGGCTTTTCATTTTCTATAAAATACCAATGCCTTGGCACTTGTAAGGCATCTCTTTTTGCTTATTAAATCCAAATGAGATTATTCTCTTATCAATTCCATTATTTATATATGTTGCAATATACATTTGCATTGTTTCTAGCTCACACACTACTTATGTTATTGTTTTCTTTTCATTCATAGGTTAAACATCAAGGGAACATCACTTGGCAGCTTGGCATAGCTCAAAGGCAAGCATGACAGCTCATGGATAGCTCACAATGGTCACAAGCAATTGAATTTAGTTCAAGCACAACAAGCCTAGCTCATGGTT